ACACACACACACACACACACACACACACACACACACACCTGACGGGGATGAGCAACAGAAACATGGATGAAGGGAGACAGCAGACAGCATAGGATACAAAAATAACAGTAATTTATGATTGATCAAGGGTTCACGAGGGTGGTAGGGTGGAACAAAAAAGGAGCTGATATGAAAGGTTCAAGTAGAAAGAAATGTTTTGAAAATGATGATGGCAACATAGGTACAAATATGCTTGATACAACTGATGTATGGATTGTTATAAGAGTCCCCGATAAAATGATTAACTAAGAATCTCAAAAAAAACAAATTCCTCTTGATTTGGGCATAGCTTTAGTCATCTAAAAATGAACAGTTGACATTTTAAGAACCAGGTTACAGAGTTCCAATTTAAAACACATACACCCTCACACACCCTCACAGGGAGACACATTCTCCCGGGTGGTTGCCATGACAACATAAGGTCAAGCCTACCAAGCTCTTTGTTATCCTGCTGAAGAGGTGATGCAAACACACACTCATGCTAGATGCTTTACTAATAAGTGGAAAAGCTTAAATGATTTTTTAGATCCACGTGGTTTTCATCTGGCCCAGGGCTCAGAAAAGCAAATACGAAATAGTATAGGAAAATAATAACTGGAAGATCCAGGACAGTTCAAAGCAGACACAATATTGAAGTACACAAGGGAAAATAATTTTTTTATGCTACTTTGTGTGTTACCTTCACTTCATGGAAGTTCTCTTGTTAGAAGCTGCACTATAATATTTTAATAGTGCAATATAACTTGGATAATATAATCTGAGTCTCCTCTTTTTAATGAACATATTTTAAATTTTTCCTTGTTTGTCTACATCCATTTCAATTCATTTGGGAGCACACACTACCACATGCCAGTGATTCCTAAGAACAGAAAAACAACAAACAAACAAACCTCAACACCATCAAGTCAATCCCCACTCATAGTGACCCTATAGGACAGGGTAGAACTGACCCTGTGGGTTTCCAGGACTGTAACTCTTCACTGGAGTTGAAAGCCTCGTCTTTCTCCCAAGAATTGGCTGGTGGTTTCAAACTGTTGACCTAACAGTTAACAGCCCAAGTCATAACCACTGTGCCACCAGGGCTCACAAGGACCAAAAAAAGCATTTCCAAATTAATAGTTTATGTGCCAAGGGGCGGGGAGCAGGGAGAGGGAAGGGGAAGAGGGGGCTGTGATAAAGCATGGTTTAGTATTTCTTTCACTTTGTCTTGATGTCCCTTGAAGGTTTCTCTTTCTCTGCTCCTAGCTATGCGACCCAGCCCCCCATCAAGAGTCAGCTGTCAACCAGTTCGCCAGCATCTCTTTCTGGGTGGGCTCAGCTTTAACCCATAGCTTTAAATACCATCGGGATGCATTTACATCTCCAGACTGGGCTGTCCTATGACTTCCCAGAGCAGATGATCCAAGTGCCTTCTAAACAACTCCACTTTGATGTTACTTCAAAGACAACTCCACTCCTTCTACAGTGCTCCTTACTCAGTAAATGGCAGCTATGAATGGTACTCAGTCAGTACCTTTTGGCTGAACCAACCAAGCCTGTTACATAAACCAAACCCTTAAGGGTCACCCTTAATAACTCACTCCTCTCTCTCCAGAATGAGTCAGTAGCCAAGTCATATGTCTTTTTTACCTATTTTATTTTACTATTTTTTCTATTTTACTCTTGCACAGATCTCCAGCCGAGTTCATCATCAGTGTCCTCACACCACTACTCTAACTCACTGTCATTAAGTAGACACTGACTCATGGTTGATAGGGCAGGTAGAACAGCCCCAGTAGGTTTCCAAGGCTGTAACCCTTTATAGGAGTAGAGTCTCATCTTTCTCCTGAAAAGCAGCTGGAGGTTTTGAACAGCTGACCATGTGGTTAGCAGCTCAACGCATAACCCAGTACGCCACCGGGCCTCCAACTCCTCCCTACGGTGCCAATCTTTGCCAGGATTACAGTCACAACGTCCTAACTGGCCATCAGGAACTGTGCAGATGCAGTATACGGGAGAGTTAGGCAACTTGTCCCTGTCGGAGAGTTTATTGACCAAGCAGATAAAACTGCTTGAGAAAAGCAACTGTCTACTACGCACCAGGCACCAATCTAGAAGCCTCATAAATACTTGTGTGATGTCCATAATGACCCACTTTACACAATAAAGTCAACTTGGCATGTGGCATTTCGGAGCCTCTTCTGGCCACATCTTTGCTCTGCTTCTTCCCCACCCACCGAGGATGTTGTTGATCACCATCTGTTAAGACCTGTGTGCAGACACTATGCTCACCGATTTGAACACATGCTCCATTCAAGGTTCACAACCCTTCTATAATTTGGGGACTGGTGTCCCATTTTGCACATGAGGAAACTGTACTTACTTGTTCAAGATAAAAAACACAATACAGAAACCCAGGAGGTGGTAGAGCTGTGATTCAGGCTTGGAGCCTACGTCTTTTCATTGAGGAATTGTTTAACTTACAGCAAGTTATCTGAACTGGTGGGGACCTAAAGTTAGGAAAGACAGGGCCATCCCTGTCATAAAGGGTGTGGAACTGGAGGAGCCTGCCTCCAGCATCAGAGCCCTTGATGATGAATCTGTCTCTCCCCAGTGAAGGGCAGAGTTCAGGGAGCAAGCACCACCAACTCCCTCGGAGAGGTTCCATTCTGTCCTAGGGGGTCACTGAGAGTCCGAAGCACCTCCACGGCAGTGGGTGGGTGACTTGGTACTTACAGTTTTATCACTCCGTCTGAGCACTGGACACAGTGCTTTTGGCCGCTCTTGTCTTGTTTATGTTGGCTCTGCCCCAGCTGAACAAATCTACAAACGACAGTGCATACAAGGAGGTAAGCGACCGAAGATGCTATTTGCAATACATTCACTGGATTCTAGAAAAGGGTAAGAGCTTCCAGATGACAGTGGTGAGCTTATTTCAGAAAGGCACAATTGACAATCACAAGCTGTCCAAGAAGCAGGGGATCTGTGACTGGCTGGATCTTTTTGTGCGCTTAATCTAAAAGGGGAGGGATAAGAATATCTTTTCCATCTACTTCAAGGTTGTTTAGAGTTCAAATAAAATCGTACACATGGAAGCACTGGGTCAAGTGTTGAATGAGAGGAGGTGGTCGTGTTCTTCAGAGCACCGAACACAGAATCGTATTCCAGGGCCTGAATCCCCTTCTCCCTTGCTGCGATCCCTCCCTTCCCCACCTCCCCTTGTCCTAGGGGTGCTGTGGTGAATGCGGCTGTGGCCTCGCTGCTGCCCTTACTTCATCAGAAGGGAGAACTACACGTGGGCCTTAGAGACATCCTGGAGCCAGAAGTTGCCAGGTGAATAGCAGGCTTCATCTTAGGGGAGGCTACCTTTCACTTCACCTGAGCCGACGTTTCGGACCTGGACTTGTATGGGCATATTCTCTGCGATGTGAAAACTCAAGTATCCAGTCATCTGTGGCTGCTGTTGTCAGCTGTTGTTGAGGCAGCCCCTGACTGAAGGGGAGCCCACACACTAAGCTCACTGCCTCAAGTCGATTCTGACTCCTGTGCGCCTGTGAAATGAGCCTGTGTCCAGTGAAACAACATCTTGCCTGGTCCTTCCTCATCCCCGTGATGGATTGTGGCTTGGACTGATGTGATTCATAAGGCTGTCAAACAACTGATTTTTGGAAGGAGATCACCAGGCCTTTCTTCCTAGTCTGTTTTAGTCCAGAAGCTTTGATGAGAGCAGTTCAGCATCATAGCAACAGCAGCTTCCACTGACAGAGGAGAGTTGACTGCACGTGAGGTGTGCTGGCTGAGGATCTTGCATGGAAGGTGAGAATTCTGCTACCGAACCACCAGTGTCCCCATCCGTCACTAAAAACTCAGTCAGTTGCATGCTAATTCCACCTCACTGTGTATGCAGAGAACTACAACATCTCAATCCCATAGGTTTTCAAAAATTGTGCCTGTATTCCAGAAGGTTTTAAGGCAGCGTGTCCAACTGCTCTTCTAAGATACTTTGGAGTGAGTTTAACCCAGGGTTTTGAACTGATTAGAAATGTTTCTGTCATGCCTGACAGAGAGTCCGTGTTGCATCGCACCCAAATCTTCTTCTTTTGACCTGAGTAGGAAACAGGCAGGGGTGCCCTACTCAAAAGTGGGCAGCCCTACATATTCGAAGTGGTACCACTGGCCACCATCTTTGAGTGGGGCCCTGCTGCTTATTTTCCACTCAGATCAAAATCACATCCACCATGGATTTGGTTGCTATGTAACCCCATGCTCCGTTGGCCATGTTTAAATCATTTTGAACCAGTTCTAAGCCCTGCTTCAGATCGCCAACTTTTCTCTTAGTAGTCAAGCACTTCCCTGTTCATCCCACCCAGCGATTCTCTCTCTCATTGACCCCACGGAAGTCATTCTTTCCGACCTTGTTGCTCATAAAGCCCATTTCAACCACTAAAGGGTTTCCGAGAGGGGTGATGAATGAGTAACTGTGTGTCTGTGTGCCCAGGAGTGAGAAGGCTGTCGCTGGGTTCTGGAGGACTACATTTGCTTCTAGACAGCTCTGTATTCTGGGACTGTTTACTTCTGGTAAGACAGCAAGGCACATTCATAAGGGTGAAGGCTATAAAGGTGGCTCTAGCAGTCAAGACATGCTGTGTGCTTTCTCTTTTAGGTATTATAGAGCTCTGATTAGTTTGAAGTGAAAAGCTAACAAGACCCAGTTCTATGGATTCTACAAATGAAATACCATCTATTCCAGCCCCACCCCCACCACCCAAACCACTTCTTTATGCTACATCATTTATAAAAGATAAACATATGTAAATTAAGGGGAACTATGCCCTTGTGGTGGTGGTGGTGGTGGTGAAGTGTTGGACGGCTAACCACAAGGTTAGTGGTTCAAACCCACTAGCCACTACAAGGGAGAAAGATGAGGCTGTCTGCTCCGATGGAGATTCAAAGCCTCGGAAACCCTATATAGAGTTGCTGTGAGTCAGAGTAGGGCCCTGGTGGCACAGTGGTTAAGTGCTCAGCTGATAATCCAAAGATTGGTAGTCTGCACTAGCAGACACGCTCTATGGGAGAAACATGTGGCAAAGACAACAGGCTTGGAAACCCTGTGGGGCTGCTCCACTCTGTCCTATAGGGCAGCTAGGAGTTGAAACCGACTTGATGGCAGTGGGCTGACTTGGGGCCTTTTGGTGGCTCCCCTCTACCCAGCTATGTCGCTCTGATTAAGGCCTGTACCATGCTGAGTTGGCATCCTTAGATCATGGCATTCTTATTCTTTCTCAGCTGTCGCTCCCACAAGCATCTCTGAGCTACAATGAATGTATTGTCTTCCATCTTCACTATACTAGACTGATATTGTAAAAAGGCACCTTGACCCTGAGGATTTGCTAATGCAGGAATCACTGAATCTGTACTTCAGTTTTCAGCTTATATATCTGCACTAAATATGTATGCATCATATGATTTCATCTCAGATAACAGGCCCTTTAGCTCAGAATAGGAATCAATGTTTTTGAATCTGACCTTCTAAATGGTGCTAGCATGTTTCAAGTAGAATTCATTTCTTTCTGAATTATTGATCATTCTTATTTTTAACAGTCACATTAGATACAAGTCACCGTCACAATAAATTGCATTGCCCCGTAATCTCTACATCAAAGCATCTTACCTTGAATAAATGGAGAGGTCATCTTCTGAGAGGCCATCTGAGAGGTTAATTCCATAGACGTCTTTCATAGACTGGACTACATTCTAGCATTAAACAAAAAGAGAATAAATAGGCCAGGAAAAATTTTCAGACAGCTAGCTTATTAATAATTTCCAAAGATAAAGAAAACGAATCTATAAAAGCAATATAATTTTTCTTCAACCTATTCATGACCATCTCAGTTACTGGTCAAAAAAACACAACTTTCTATTTCCACTACAAGTAGCTTATTTTAAGGTTAAAATCCCCTGTTAAATGATTACTAGTTGCTTTGGTATAGTGCAGGAGTTGACAGCTTTTTCTGTGAAGGGCCTGATAGCAAGTATTCTAGGTGGCGGGAGCCATACCACCTGTGCTGCAACATTTGCTTATGCTCGTATCGTGGATAGACAGTCGTCTACAAATGTCAACAGCCAGGGCTGCATTCCAGTAACACTTTATTGAAAGAAAACAAAAGCAGGCAACTGTCTGGATTTGGTCCATGGTCAGTTTGCCAACTCCTGATATAGTGGAGTGGGTGTTACATGATTACATTTTATTTGGCCCAGTGGTGATGTATTTGGCTGTAACACACAGTAAGCAGTTGGACACACCAGGCCCTCTACTCCCAGGAAGAGTTCCCTTCTTGGAAACTCGGAGGGCAGTGCTACCCTGTCCTACAGGGTGGCTGTGCGTTCTCATCAAGCCAAAGTCAGCGAGTTTGCGTTTGATCTACTTCTCAACGTCTTTTGACAAGTTCTTTAAATCAAGCTTTCCCAACGCGAGATTTGCTCTTTTCTGGCTCATTTCCCTTTTGTTTCCCCTGAGTGTGTCAGCATGTCAAAGCAAACAGGAAGAACTTTCCACGGGGGCTACTCAAACACTGGGCGGTGTAAGACCTGCATGCGCACAAAGTGAACGAGGCTACAAATGGCCACTGCTACCTCAAGAGGAGTGGCTGCTCAAAGAGGGACCGGGTTCTCGTAGACATGCTGACGTGGGAAGAAAACCAACGTTCTCCAGGGGAGCAAAAACCCCAACTTAGTTCCCAAATGTAACAATTTCCCATTTCTATGTAAATGTATTCATCCCATGCACTGGCTCCAACCCCACACATCAAAATGCGGTGAGTCCGATAACACGCCATTGTCTTGCTCTCAGTGTAAAAACAGAACCCTAAAGACACACACACACACACACACACACACACACACACACACACACCTCCATCGCTTTGGCACTGTCTCCCGTGTCAGCCATCTTCACCGGCGTGGAGCGCTGAGACACGGAGCCCTCGTCCTCCCGGTCGGTCCCTGAGTCGTCCTCTGAGCTGCTGGACACAGCCTCCTCACTGGGGGGCGGCGGGGCGCTGGCGGCCGTCTTGCGCTGTAACACAGCTTCTTCTCTGTTGCTTTTGTTTCTTCGAGAGAGAAACCATGACCGTGGAGCAGATTTCAATTGAGCCCTCAGCTCTCCCAGTTTAATAGGATTCTGTCCAGAAGCCTTGTCTCAGAAACACAAGAAAATTGACTAGAATTGGCTAATTTCTGGGTTTAACGTGGGCTAAAGGGCTTCAGACTTGTATGTCACCAAATGCACGTAGGTACCTTCTGACTTTGAGCTCGGTGAGGAATTCAGAAAATAAACTTAATGTACTTGCAGAATGCATACAAGTCTTCTTACCATTTGGCGACAGTTTTCCTTTGATCGAAATGTTCATAATGGTAGCTGGGCACTATCCAGAAAATATTGTTTCTTAATTCAGGAAGTACCTTATAGCACTACTTTTAATTTTGTGAAGAATGCATAATATTAATTTAAAGACTCCTCTATAAAGGTACTTCAAAAAGTTCGTGGGAAACAGTCCATTTGCTTTTAATTCCATTTTTTCCACAAACTTTTGAAGCTCCTTCATATAAGGGGCTAAAAAAACACCACAATATTCTGAAATGTTCTAGGAAAAAAAATTCAATGCTACTTGACTGTAGGCTCAGAGTTTGAGAAAACATTAGCTTCTGATCATCTATCACTAGGAAATTAAAGTTGAGTTAGAAATTAAATTAGAGTTACTGGGCTATATAAATTAATGTAGGTACTCATTTACTTATCCCTTGAATTCTAAATCTCATGTGGTGTTCCCTTTTTTAAAATTCTCTTTAGCATTTAGCCCAAGGCTTAGCATGCCATAGCTACCTAGCTGCTTCATGTTTTAGCCACTGAAATGATGTATCTGGGAAATATTAATACAAGAAGGCTTCCAAAAGATTCTGGAGAAATGGAGTTAAATGTTTCTGGAAAAAATGGAATGGAATTTTTCATAGGCTTTTTGAAGCCCCGTCATATATACCATTGCATGATGAGTAGCTATAATCCAACTGGGATCACTTACCTCCTCACCAGTACAATCCAAACTCCCTATCTACAGACCGACTCTCCTTCTGGTTAGAGTCTAGGAGGAATCTTATCAGAATTAGGTACTGACAGGGACACTTTTGCTAAAACATAACACATTCCAGTCCAATTTCTAAGCCCGAAGATGCCAGCACAGCTGGTCCCCTTGCCTGTATTTCTGTGTATAAGACGACTGTCATACAAGAAGTAGTCTGTCTTACAGCAAAAACCTTCATCTGAGCATATTTGCTTTTATGTCTCTGGACCACAAAAATAAATGCAAAGACTACGGAGAGAGGGGACACAAAAAGGGAGGAGAGAGGCAGTCATTGGTGGGGCGGGGCCGGGTTGACAAGTTGTTTAAAATGGTGATTGCACAAATGATGATCGGATAAGCTCCCACCCACTTGCAATAAAATACGTAAAATAAGTCAACCCAATGGACGTATATCTCCACGGGAAGATTGCACTTCTAGAAAACACAGAGCATAACACAAACCCTGCCACCTGCCTTTATGGCATGTGTGACATGAGGGGGCTTCCAAAAGCTTGTGGGAAAAGCTCATTATCGTTGCATTCAATTTTCCCAAAAACGTTTTGAGGTCCCTTCACCCATGTCATTTACAAAGCCAAAATGCAGTGTGTGGCTGAACTTTTCGCAACGTCAGCTCTCCTGGCTGAATATGTTAGTGACCCCAATGCCCTAAACAAATTCCCTGACGGGATACAGTCAGCAGACTGTGTGACTTGATGCTGCCAGCTTCCGGTGGAAATTACATCGCCCGGACCATTACTTTGCAGGGCTTGTTGAAATCCTGGTTCATATGCAAATCTTACCCCAATACTGATTTTCCAGTCTCATCGGGTTTCCGCACAGTAAACGGGCTGGGATCGATGCCAATGGTCTTGGGCATAAAGTCCCTGGAGAAAGAAGAGGGAGAAAAAAACAAAAGCCGCTGCATGAATGGTTGCCCAACGTGCCTACGTAGATCCTCGGCGGAGGGTTGAGGGAGCTTCGAGTGCAGAGTGCACCGAAAGCCCAGGTACGAACCCCAAGTACTCCATACGGTCCGTGCTAGCAGCCTTCACTGTGAACTCCCTGTGAGTACATCTCGACTGTGTTGAATTTAAGGTGTTACTTATGGGAACAGTGCTGCTATCTGAATGTACTGTTACGACGTTTACCACCGGGCTATATATCACGATTAGTTGTCAGGTAAAATTAAACACATAAAAACCAAGGGGAAAACACAAAACTGTTCAGTTTTATGGGCAATGTTTTTAAGCTAGACCACCTAGAGAGACTGACATAGTGATCAAAAACACGGGGGACAAGTGGAAGAATCAACATCTACTTCGTTAGGCCGAGGTTCATTCATTAAGACACTGTTGGAACACTTTCCATAGAAGCCGTTTTAATTTACCCCTTACTGAGATACGCTACAACTGTCCCCTCATTACGCACGGGCTGCCTCACTATATGGCAACAAGGTAGTAAGTAGTTCCGGGACTCCTGCCGACAGGCCTCACCAACTCCCAAGGCAAACATGCTGCTCCAAGTGTGCAAATGAGTATTATGTTTTTCGAAGGAAAAGAAGGAAATCTTGTGTCAGGCTCTAAGGGGCTCCTTTAACAGTTTGAAAACATTTAGAAATGCCACTGGCTTCACTTCTCTTTCTTTCTTTCTGAACACACATATTCCGTTCATACAATAAATGTCATTCATTCATCCTTTGCTGTGTTGAAATCCTCTGGAATAATAGTTCAAGCCTCTAAACTTGAACAAGTTTAATGGAAAGTCAACCAAGGAACCACAGTTGCAAACATTCTCTGACTGTCTGAAATGCCATCAATGTTTAGTGGCTCCTGGAGAAACAAACCATAGGTTTCTATATTAAGTCTCGGTGTACATGCAAGGGGGCTTCAATATATTCATGGAGAAACAGAATGAAAAGATAATTGAGTTTTCCCATGAACTTCTTGGAGCCTCCTCGTACCACACACTAGATATCAATGCCAAAGGTAAACCTTTTAACGTAAAGCTCAAATACTGAAAAAGTTATTTGATGTGCTCAAATTTCTCATGTTGGCTCCATATTTTCCTAGAAGGTCCTGCCAAGTTCTAGAAGGGACACAGAATAATGAAATGTGTCCAAAGGTGACAGACCAGTTTGGGAGGAGTCAGGAAACATCACTGGAGCTAGGGAGGAAGGACTGAAAGATTTTCTCCCGAGGCACCATTAGGTAGCTGTGCACATGAAAGCTTAATACACGTACTGTTTGCACCTCTCAGGCATGCCAATGTAATAACAGCTCTCATTCATGAATTGTTTGCCTGTGCCAGGCACTGCATTAGGCACTTGGTACATATGTATGTGTGTGTGCATATGCACATGTATAGGAGGCTTTGAAATTTTACGGAAAAATGGAATTAAAAGATAATGTCATTTTTCTATGAACCCTTTGAAAGGCCCTTCATCTTTGTGTTTATGTGTTATACACACACACACACACACACACACACACACACACACACACACACACAAGGGAGTGCCCCCCGCAAAACAGAATTTTTTCCAAAGCTATGTATTTAATTTTTTTACAAAACAACTTTATCACCTTCAAAGTATTCTCCATTACACTCAATACATTTGTCAAATCTGCGATTCCATTTTTCAAATTCATCTGTTTGGATGACTGACTGCACCTCCCTCTTTTTTTTCTTCACCTCTTCTACATTGTCAAATTGCTGTCTTTTCATGCTCCTCTTCATTCACGGAAACAAAAAGAAGTTGCACAGGTGAGGTCAGGTGAGTAAGGTGCATGGGGCAGGAGAAGAATGATGTTTTTTTCCCAAAACTGGTGCACTGAGAGGCCTGCATGAGCAGGTGCATTGTCATGGTGGCAAAACCAGTCTCCCGCCTACCACAAATCAGGCCTTTTTTTGTCACACGCTGTTATGCAATCTTCTCAGAACTTCTAAATAGAAAGCATGATAGTTTGACCCGGTGGAACGAACTCCCAGTGCACTATGAATCAACATGTTCATTCGTTTGGGAAGTTGACAGACGTTCAGAACAAGATTTGTCTTCAATCGACATTTCACTTATTTTGAAACAAGAAAACCACTTGTACACTTGAGTTTTCCCCCTAGTGCTGTCCTTGTAATTTGTGTTCAACATCACAACTATTTCTGTAGAATTTTTCCCTGAGGAGCAAACAAAATTTCACAGCCACACATTGTTCTCTTAAATTGGCCATCACCAAAACTGAGGTTAGAGCAAAACTACTTTCATGAAAAATTTCACTGTGACCAGAGAGAACTTTCTCAGGCGATGCCACTGGGTGCACTAACTCAGAGCTAGTTGCCCAGTGCTCACCTAGCAAGGAAAGATGGGTCCTACGAAAGCTCTGCCCAGCGTGGCTTTTTTCTGTTTTTGAGGGGGTCCCCACTCATATATATACACACACAAATATCCACATGAGCGATAAAGTAAAGATCAAGAGGTTTGAATAATTTCTTAAGGTCAGTTATGCAATGGCTGATCTAAGATAACCAAGCCTTTCTAGTACCAAAGACTACGTTCATACCACTCATTGGTTTTAGTTCTCAAAATCTGTGTTCAGTTTCTAAAAATGAGTTCATTCCAAATGTTAAACTAGGACCTAGGGAAAGCAGCTTTGAACTTCTCAGTCAAAAGGAATGAGCTCCAGTGTGTAACAGTAGAAGGAGCTGCCTCTTGACGTGGTAGGCTTTCCATTCGCAAGAAGCCACCTGGCAGAACGGATCTCCAGTAAAATAAGACACATCGATGTAAACTAGAAAACCCAGGGCCCATAAACACTGTCTGTCTCAGTGTGCTCTCAACGTACCGTGCTGAGCTCGTCATGGCCAAGCAAAAGGTGTCATCAAAACTGCTCAACTCATGTGGCCGGAAGAACTCGTTGTGGATATCGATCTCTTCCTCATGCTTGTGAAACTTCTTCACGATTAACTTCTTCAAGTTCGCAGCACAGGTAACTACGAGAGATATGGCATGTTACTCTTCAAGCCTTTAGATTGTGCATAGCAAACGTTCATGCAACGGCAACAGCATTCACAGAGCGCACTGTGGAAGCTCTGAGCGAGGTGCAGCCCCTGCCTCTGGTCCCCACACACTTGGAACGGAGATGAGCTCCTTGCTCGGAAAACCCAACTCGGAGGGCCACACATGTGACCAGCTCTCCTGAGGCACGAGGTCACTGAAGTCTAGGGTGGGGTGGAGAGGTTATTTTCTTTCTTTCTTGATTTTGAACTTTTTGTTGTGCTTTCGGTGGAAAGTGTACAGAGCCAATCGTGTTCCATTCAACTACTGAGACATATTTTGTTTCATGACCCGTGATCCTCTCAGTGTGGCAGCACACCTCCCAGGATTCCGTGTTCCCCTTAGTCCTTTTCCCCCACCCCTTCCTGCCAGGTGAGCTGTGTTTGGGGTCAAAGGCTTTCCCTTTGGGCCCGTATGTTAGCGTGGAGCAGCAAGTTCCTCCCTGGTGGATTCCTTGATAAGCCTGTCTACTGTTTGGCGGAAAGTTGATCATGGGTTGGCCTGGTTAAACATATATAACATAATCTCTGCCTTTGCTAAGAGATATTACAGAGACTTATCTATCAACATAGCAATAAGAACACCAAGTAGTTACTTATTTCTACAAAATGTGATAAGAAAAGGATTGAATGCTTCTAGTTTATATGGGTCTACTTCCAAAACACGTGCGTATAGCAACTAAAAGTGAAACAGTGTACCTTACCTTCATCATAAGGCAGTGGTAAATATTTTATTACCTCTGGTGTCCACCAGTGAGTATAACTATGAAGAGAAAAAAAAGCATAAGATGAGCTGAAGGTAATTATTGGTTTTCTAAAATTCATTGTCCACCACTTGTCTGTCAGTTTGTCTATCAGTGCTAGCTTATGCGTTGCTGAGATGCTGGAAGCTATGCCACTGGTATTTCAAATGGCAGCAGGGTCACCCAAAGACAAAGTCAAATATTATAATGAAATGTGCACCGGCTTAGAATTAGAAGACCAAAAGGGAAGAACATACTCAGCATATCTGAAACTGAACAAAAAAATCAAGAAACATCTCAAGCCTCAAGTTATGGTCTTGAAAGATTTGATGGGCAAAATACTGACTGGTGCAGGAAGCATCAAAAAAATATCGAAAGAATAAACAGAGTCACTGTACCACAAAGAACTGGTCCACCGTCCACCATGTCAGAAGGTAGCATGAGCAAGAACCAATGGTGTTAAAGAAAGGTGTTCATGTGGCACTGAAAGCATTCATCAAAAACAAGGTTCCAGGAATTAATGAAATACCAAATGAAGTGTTTCATTAAGCTGATGAAGCAGTAGAAGTACTCACTCATTTATGCCAAGAAATTTGGAAGACAACTACTTGGACAACTGACTGGAAGAAATTTTTATTTGTGCCCATTCCAAAGAAAGGTGACCGAACAGAACGCTGAAATTATAGAACAATATCACTGATATCACATGCAAGTAAAAATTTGCTGAAGATCATCCAACAAGGGTTGCAGCCGTACATTGACAGGGAGCTGGGTTCAGAAGAGGACGTGAAACGAGGGATATCATTGCTGATGTTAGATGGATCTTGGCTCAAAGCAGAGAATACCTGAGAGATGTTTCCTTGTGTTTCATTGATTATGCAAAGGCATTCGACTGTGTGGACTATAATATACTATGGATAACCTTAAGATGAACGGGAGTTCCAGAACACTCTCTGTGCCCATGAGGAGGCAGTGTGTGAACAGAACAAGCGGGTACTGTATGGTTTAATATCAGGAAAGGTGTGTGTCGGGGTTGTGTCCTCTCACCGTGCTTGTTCAATCTGTATGCTGAGCAAATGATCGAGAAACTGGCTTATATGAAGAATGTGGTGTCAGAATTGGAGGAAGACTTATTAACAACCTGTGGTATGCAAATGACACAACCTTGCTTGCTGAAACTGAGGAGGACTTGAAGCCCTTGCTGATGAAGATGAAGGACTGCAGCCTTCAGTGTGGATTATGACTCAATGTATAGAAGACCAAAATCCTCACCACTGGACCAATAGGTAACATCATGATCAATGGCGAAAAGGTTGAAGTTGTCAAGGATTTTGTCTTGCTTGGATCTATAATCAATGCTCATGGAAGCAACAGTCAAGAGATCAGAGGCGCATTGCAACTGGGTAAATGTGCTGCACAAAACCTCTTTAGAGTGTTGAAAAACAAGGATGTTACTTTCAGGGCTAAGGTGAGCCTGACCGAAGCCAGGCCATTTTCCATGGCCGCATATGTATGTTGGCCCTTGACTAAGGAAGACTGAAGAAGAATTGAGATGTTTGAATTGCGGTGATGAAGAACAATATAACCACGGCACCGCCAGGACTCCTTTAAAAAACAGCATAGTTGTCCTTCTACTTTCTAACTGCAAATATGCACCACTTGCTTAAAGAGACCAGAGTAAAGGTAAGGAACTCCAACGGGCTGGATTTCTGCTAAAAGATTCATCACCTAAGAGCAGATGATCTGAAAGAATGGTGAGCGGCCTTCTCTCAAACGCTGAAGTTAATGTGAAATAAAACTCTGATGAAATAGATAGCCAAGGGAAATGCTCTATTAAAGTTCACGAGAGCCAAGGCGGGCAATGATGAACGCAGTGCATCGAGATCGAAAAGAATTTCTTTTTGCTCCAACAGATTTAGAAAATAAAGAGCGATGGCCAAGAAGGATGACAAGAGAATTTAATAGAAATAAAGAACTTTCTAGAAATAAAATGCTGACACTATACCCTCAAATACTTCCGGGTATGAGAAGTAGGGGAGTATTTAAATGAAGCTGGCAATAGATGGAACTGTCCCTCCAATAAGCTTGGATTGAGAGAGGATGGGGGCTGAAAATGGTGAGCAGCATTCTTGGCCAAGGAGAAGATGGATAAAAAGGAACATTGTGTCTACAGAATAAAAGGGGGAAAATGCTGTGATAACAGGAGAGGCTTCTAAAGCTCTGCTTTTGAGCAGTGAGTCTCAAAATTCAATGGACATACAAATCACTCAGGATCTAGTTAAAAGGTAGATTCAGTGGGGCTCGAGAGTCTGCATTGATGCCGCCCTCCCCGATGCTGCCGAAGAGGACGGAAAGACCACAGGAGGTAGAGGCTTTGCATGGGGAGGATTCGCTCTCGCGTCGAGCATCTATGAAGCACCCACTCTGCGTGCCAGGCCCTGCCCTAGGTGTTAGAACTGCAGTGTTGTAAGTAGTGAGAGGACCCACTGGGAGGGAGGGAGCTGATAGTAAGGAGTACAAGAATGAAGATGCTAAAATTCATTGTGGTGATGACGGCACAGCTTTTTTTAATATGTTGAAACCATGGACATGTAATTCCCTTACCGTACATGTCAATAAAACTGAAAAAGAAACCAATGAGAGAGAAGGTTGAGCTGCTTCATTGCGGCCTTGCTCCTACATTCACCTACCATGCCAAGGTTCGTGCTGAAAAGAGGACAAACACAAGACGTGAAGCCAGCATGGTCCAGGACCGATGGAAGTTGTGGAGGACTTCTAAGCGTGTTGGAGAAAGCTGTCCAGGCCAGAGATGTCGCGCAACTTATCAAAACCACACCCTCACCCTCTGTGTCTCCATCAAGTGGTCTGGTGCGGGTGAGATCGTACTCTTTTAAGGGAAGATGGATAGAAATTACCCTGGACATGGGCAGATGCGGTTGTGATGCTATAATGTAAGAGGTGTGTGTGTGTGTGTGTGTGTGTGTGTAGGGGGCGGTGGTGGTGGTTTAGATTCCAAAAACTAGGCATCAGTGAGTATGATGTCATTCACAGCAAGACAACAGACTCAAGTACTGGCTAGAGATGTGTCGTGTGTCACCTGAAAGATGGCTGGTGAATTCTAGGAATTCACATATATTCACTAGAACAAGCCACCCCAGGCGAATCACGTTTTCTTTCCTGAGAGGTAGAAGGTTCCGAGTGGGGGTGGGGGTGGTATAAATGTGCACACGTGGCACATGTGTAAATTCTATTTTGTTTGTGACGGCCTAGGCTTGGCCATTGCCACCCAGCTGATTCCAACTTACAGCAACCAGGTTTGCCACACTTTTGTTTTTCTTCCAAAGTACCTCTGGGTGGATTCAGCTGTTAACCTAAAGGGTAGAAGTTTGAGTCTATCCAGAGGCACCACAGAAGAAAGGCCTGACAATCTACTTTGGAGCGATTGGTCATGGACAACCCTAGGGGACACAGTTCTACTCCGACACAACCAGGGGGCTGTTATGACTTGATGGCAACTGGAGTTTGTTCTAACCCTGACCGAGGAGGAATGGAGAAAAGGCATCAGCTAGCATATGAAGACGTTGCCTATAGAATGGGGCTTCAGAAAAAGTACAGAATGTATGTTAACTTGGAATATATTGTATGGGGGGGCGGGGAGAGTAAGAGATAGACTTGTATTAGTGATTTGAGGCTGGGCCATGCTTGTTTTTTAAATTTGCTGAAGAAACAGACTCATTAGTTCAGACAAAAAGCTTTTGAGGATGCATGGAATTGTCCTGAACTATTTAGGACAGTAACGACTGGATGAGGAAATGATGCTCCTTAGGTCTCAGTGAACGGCATCAGTTAGGGTCCGAAGGGTAATTGACAGAGAAGAATATGTCAGCATAAGAAGAAGAAGTGTGTAGGTCAACTGTCCAGAAAGAATTGTCCTCAACCGGCCACTTCCCAGTTTCAAACCAGGACCTGCCAAGCAGTGCTCAGATGCCTTCTCCCTGGGAGACAGAGGCATGCTTGTATCAGGCATTGATCAGGGTCAGGAACTCTCCCGACTCTGAGGATTAATAACATAGTGAATGCTTAATATCTCAAATCATCTTGGTGATACTGTAAGCACTGACTCAATAAGTGGCATCTTGGGCCTGTGACATCTTGCCCTATTCAGAGCAAAGCTTCAATTAGTGGCTTATTTCATCTTCCTTTATTAGGTAATAAAAAATACTCTTTCTGAGTAAGCCCCTGGTAAACACAGCATAAAATACAGATGGCCTCCAAGTGTGGGAATATAGGCAAAGGCATATTAAAGGTACACTGATGTTATGCTAAGTGGTTAAAGTATATTATATCTACATTTCTAGATTGTATGGTCCTTCCAGGGTTATAATAAATTATACAGTTAGGGAATGTAATCTCTTTAAAGAACAGTAACACCACCACTAAGGTCAATATAAGTCAGAACCAGCTGGAAAGCACTTAACACTACCATCTACCTTATCAGATGCTATGTGCTTTATGTGCATCATCTTATCTGGTTTTCAGAAAACCCTAAAATCATTAGGCCCTATCAGTATTCCCGTTTTCCTGATGACGGTGTGAGTTAGACCAGGTGTAAGTTAGACCAGGTACGTGATTTGCTCAAGGCCACCCAGCTCTTGAGTGGCAAGCAGTGGAGGTGACTTTGTGTCAGACCCCGTGCTGCATTTTTCTCATCTAGGAAATGGGGAAGGGGCAGCAGCTTCCTTTAGTTGCCACCCATAGGCTCCAGGGCTGCCTGCGTCCCTGACGAACGCAAGGTAAACAAGTTGTTTAAATTTAATCTAAGCTGTGATTATACAGCTAGTTTCTGTAGTAAACACTGAATTTGGGCCGTTCCTATGTTTTACATTAATGCCCTCAATACTTTCAAGCGATACAAAATATTAGAAAATCAACACCTTTACCCCAAATCGATTGTCATCACCAAAGCTACAAAAGGTATTTGTGCTCATTTCTTACCACATACACACCATTAGTCTCAAACACTGTGCTTGTCAGCAAAAGTTCACATAAGCAATCATCGAGTACGATTAAGCTTAATGGGGAAAAAAAGGCCACGTTTCATTTACAAGAAGAGTAAGCTCAAGCATTAACAAATCTACTCCAATAAGACGTACTCATAAAAATAAATTTAATAAAGATATAAGCTCTGACACTTTTATAATATCTTAAATATTCATGAAGCAACACAGAATTTGATAGCAGCTACACCATCCAATCAAAACTCATTGCTGTTAAGTTGATTCTGACTCACCACAACCTCACAGGACAGATTAGAACTTCCCCATAGGGTTTCCATGGTTTGTAGACATAATTAGCACAGCTGGCAATAAGTCCTGTAATGTGTTTAGGAGGTACCTTTGTACACAAAAATGAGTATATCAAACTGCTATTGCAAGACAAAGGCATTAGGGGAGAATCTGACATCACAGACCTTTGAGCAAAATAGATCAGGCTTGAACCTAATATATATCCACTCGTCACTTAGAGACACTGTTAGCGTTTGTGGCAGTTATATAATCTCCTGTCAACTTGAGCGAAGGGGTGGAGTCTAGCCTGTCAATCAGTCATAGCCAATTATGCTTCTGTGTGGGCATGGCCTTCTCCTGAGGATTCTGGGAACTCCGGTTTTCCCCCCTGGAGGTGGGACAACACTCTCGTGGCTTCACCTTCCTGCCTTCCTGTTGAAGGAGCTACACTGATGGCACCTAGAACCCTGGTGCTGGGGGACCACTTGGAGACCCATGCCAACACTGACGATTCCACAACCACTGGATCCACAAGGCTTTTCACCCACTGGCCTATGATCTTCCTGCATTTGGCACCATTGCATGTACTGTGTGAATCTGAAGAGGAATTTATAGACCGGTACTGGACATATGGGCTAATATCGGGCTTATAAACTTGATCTGGATGGGGCTGGGATTTTCTCTTAATATACAATTACTCTTTGATATAAAGCTCTCTCTTATACTCATATGACTGTCTCTGGACTTGTTTCTCTAGTCAATCCAGACTAACACAGTGTTCAAAGGCCAAGTTGTTTTGTAAAAAACAGCTTTAGGTGGAAATGGAGGAGGACTACATAAGATGACAAACTGGAGGATGACCACATCATTACATAACTAACAAATTAGGTCGCCGCATAAGTGGCCCAGCCAAGGTGACACTCAACCTTAACCTCCACAGCCAGTGTTACTCTCATGTTACACTTCAGCATTCATAATGTACATCATTAATATACAAAATAGCAGGATATTTTTACCATTTTAATATTTTTATTATTGTTGTAAATACAAAATGTCAGCTAATGAGATGGTCTGACAGTGAGAAGTAGTTGTATATTAAAACTTTTTCTCACATGTCAATTAAAAACATTGAAGAGGCATTTCATTACAACCTCATAATGACCCTGGGGGGCTGTGTCCAGCATCTCCATTTTGCAGATGAGGAAAATGAGGCTCGGAGAGACTGAGTAACTAATTCAAGGTCATAAAACTGCAGAGATCCTACCTCAACTCCACCTGACCCTGAGGCTCATGCTGTAGGGTCTCCTGTTAAACTGGAAGATAGTCACATATTTCAAGAACATTAAAGGAGTGGGAAAGAGGAAGGCCTCCGCCAGAGACACGGTGGCTGCAGCAATGGGCTCAAGCATAAGAAGGATTGAGAGGGTGGCGCAGGCCGGGTAGTGCGTCCTTCTGTGGTGCAGAGGGCTGCTACGAGTTGAGCTGACTCAAGGGAACCTAACAACAACAACAACAAGAGACTGTCCTGTTTTCTAAATAATCGAGACTGGTGAATGGTTCCAGAGAGCCCCGCCTGAGCGGTAGGAGTGACAGGGGAGGTTATCTGCCACAGGGGTTCTGATGGTCTTCAATGGTGTCAACAAGAGCTGGTCACGCTTTCTAGAGAAAAGGACATTGGAATTCCAAAGCTTCATGTGACATATAGAAAACCAGAAAGTGACCCCTTCTACTTTAGAGCCCTGGAATTTCCATGTTTGCCGGAAGTATTAAACAATGATGGTCATTTGCTTTAGTGGAATGACAACTTATGAAAATCACTCGCTTTACTAACCACCATTTCCCAAATCTATCAGGACATCAAAGTACTACACTTCTGATGGCATAAATGTAGTTTTAGTCCACATGCTTATTTTTGAAAAGAAAAGCAGTCGATATTCAAAGTGACATTAAGTCTGAGTTTAAATGATAGACTGGAATGGAAAATACCTCCTTCTGGTCAGTAAAAGTTCCATGGTATTTTTGTGATGCAAATAGAAATCTGTGGGGAGTTCCCAGAGGTGAGGTTTTCCTTCAGTTGGATGGAAGACGCCCAGGAAGAGATTAATGGAGTCTTGTCTGTCAGCATCTAAAACACAAACATTTGTATCTCAGGAATTCCATTGTTGATGTACACAACTCAGGAAAGTTTTTCCACAGGAGGATCACAGTACAACTGTACACTCATAGGGTGTGTCTCTAAAAATACTAGTATGAGGGAGCTTCAAAAAGTTCGTGGGAAAATCCTATTATCATTTCATTCCATTTTCCCACGAACCTTTTGAAGGCGCCTCATATTTGTGCTTCAAAATTCATATACCGGTTTTCTTTATATGAAATCCAGGATTGGTAGATCTCTAGAGACAGTAACACGCTTCATAGCTCCCTCGGGATCATAGTAGGGGACTTAGGGGTAATTGGGAGGTAAAAAATAATAGGTGCAAGAATGAAGAATATGATCTAAAATTGACTGTGGTGATCATTGCACAACTCTTTTTAATATGCTTAAACCAGTGAATTGTACGGTCACAAATTATATGTCAATAAAAGTTATATTGCTTGCCAATTATCTCAATTATGCAAAAAAACTTATTTGAAAACAATTAGATTAATATGTATAAAAATCAGCAAAACGTTTGACTTAGAAAACAAATACTCGATTAATGATTTTTTAAAAATACTTTACCATATATAAGAATTTTTTCTTTGTAATTGTAATTTTGTCAGAAAAAACCAAAACCTTTCTATCCAAAAAAGGAAAGGTTTTGTGTTCTGTTTTTGATAGAAAGGCTTTCCTTTTTGTGCAAACGAAGGGAGAAGGCTGAGAAGATGGGGCTCTGTCCGGTAGAGTTATAGTCTGGGAACTTCGCAGGAACAGATAGATCTACCCTGTCCTAACAGGGCCTGAGTTGGCAGGGAAATCCAAATGGAAAAAAAGTTAATATTCATCAGATCATGGAGACACTATAAAACTTTACATTTCTTGGCTGAAATAAACCAACAAAACAGATGCCCAGTATATGCTCTGTAACAGTCACCAAAAACTTCTAGCGGAATTCAGATCTCGCTCCACAATGTTTGCATGTCCGATTCAGAGCTCCCTCACATGGAGCGCAGGGAACACAGACAAACGGCGTCGGGAACTGTATTGAGCCAGCCTCTTGAGAAAATCTTTAAGAACGTCCACTACACCTCAGAGAGGGGCCTTCGTCTAAAAATGAAATGCCTTCTCTTGTTAATTTCTTGGAAACGAGTACACTTTCCCTTCATGGCAAAGGCGAGCAAAGATTGCCCAGGGGCATCGACGGAGCCAATTACTGTGCCCATTCGGTTACGTAACCCCGGGCATGTCAGTTGCATAGTTCCCACTCTTCATCCTTGAAAAGATTATTTCCCATTTCTTTAACGGTGGGCGATGTTTACCGCGTTCTCTGGACTCCTGGGTCAGGAGCCTGGCCCATTCTCTTTTGTGTTTGTTTGATCACCCAGGAAGAGAGAGCTCATGAATAAAAGCCTCATCTCAACTATTCAACCACTACTAAATGATCTTTCCCAACCATACGAAGAGCTAACAAAACAAACTCTGTCTTTTATCTTCTTTTCCTTCTCCTAATGATGTTTTGGTAAAAATGATCATAAGGACTGGAGTGGTCTCCTGCATGCACTGCCACTCCCCTCTAATGTTCCCCCCTCCCGGCATCTCCGAGCCGTCTCCTCATTTCCTTCTCCCATTCTTGTTCCACATATTCAGGCAAGGGCAGGCATCTGCCATACAAGTAATAATCTCTCTCTGAAAATGAGTATCAGATCCAAAAGAAAAGAGAGAGAGCAGAGTCTCAATGACTGCTTCGGGAACAAGATAACATTATCCTAAAATCAATTTTCTTTCAATGGCCACCGTGAACACAGGTATATCTGAAATTAGTGAAACAGTCCTTGTTGAGTTATGTGGTCATTTTGGTAAAATGAAGGAAGTGAAATATGGTGCATTCAAATTGGAATTCCAGTTATCAGTAGTTTGACAGAAAACATTCCATTAAGATAATACTTACCTTTCAGATGGAAAACATATGTGTTTATAAGCTGATTCTATGTAGGATCTTTTTTTTGCCACTTGTTATGAGAAAATATCACCAATTAAATGATGCAGCTATTACTGCTGCAATTTACACAGTGCAAAAGCAAACACACCGTTCCCGCAGGAAGCACATTCTTTCTGCTTCTGCATAGCCTTCATGGGCATTATCATTCACTCTCTGTAGCACCTCACAATATCCTATTATCATCTAGAGAAGCTATCCATTTTCAAGGAGTTTCTTTCATCCTTACACCTGGCACAGGCAGCCCCTGGGTTTAGAATGAGATCCTATCTTGAAGTTGGATTTTGAGGCTGGTCACAGAGCGGGTGCATGTGATTCTTATTTAGCCTGACGGTAGTGTCAAGGTTCCAAACCTTGGCTCTTTGTTAGAACCAACCGGGGGGCTGGTGAAATGACAGCTTCATGGCCTCTATTTGCAAGCTCATGAATCAGAAGCTTTAGGAGGAGGAGTCCAGGAATTTGTAGATTTTTACTGAATCTCCAGGCAATCCCAACGAGCAGCCCAATTTGGGGACCTGGACTTTAGTGCAAGAACAATCTTGAAGCCTGTTCAGTAATTGAAAGGGTGTGCAAGTGTCATGAAAAGGAGACGGTAATGAAGAATATGTTGCCAGTAGGGGTCAGTGAAATCATTTCAAAATGAAAGGAGATGCACATAGCATTAAAGGGCATTTGTAGCTCAAAGATCGACTGTATAAGCTTCCTCTAATTTTCACCAAGTAAGGTCAAAGGCAAGGAGCCCTGGTGGTGCTGTCAGGTAAGCATTGTTCTGCCAACTGCAAGGTACGAGGTTCACACCCAACAGCCACTGCATAGGAGAAAGAAGAGACTGGCTCCTCCCATAAAGATTCACAGCCTCAGCCACCCTAGATTGAGCTGCTATGAGTCAGAATTGACTCAATGGGAGCAGATTTGGATGGTTGAATGAAAGATGTGAAAAACAACCAA